CCACTGTCCAACTGTGGGTCGGAGTGGATACATCCCAATTCCGCGGCCCTACTGTGGGTCGGAGTGGATACATCCCAATTCCGCGGCCCTACTGTGGGTCGGAGTGGATACATCCCAATTCCGCGGCCCTACTGTGGGTCGGAGTGGATACATCCCAATTCCGCGGCCCTACTGTGGGTCGGAGTGGATACATCCCAATTCCGCGGCCCTACTGTGGGTCGGAGTGGATACATCCCAATTCCACGGCCCTACTGTGGGTCGGAGTGGATACATCCCAATCCCACTGTCCTACTGTGGGTCGGAGTGGATACATCCCTATCCCACGGCCCTACTGTGGGTCGGAGTGGATACATCCCAATTCCAGTGTCCTACTGTGGGTCGGAGTGGATACATCCCAATTCCACGGCCCTACTGTGGATCGGAGTGGATACATCCCAATTCCACTGTCCTTCTGTGGGTCGGAGTGGATACATCCCAATTCCACGGCCCTAATGTAGGTCGGAGTGGATACATCCTAATCCCACTGTCCTACTGTGGGTCAGAGTGGATACATCCCTATCTCACGGCCCTACTGTGGGTCGGAGTGGATACATCCCAATCCCACTGTCCTACTGTGGGTCGGAGTAGATACATCCCAATCCCGCGGCCCTACTGTGGGTCGGAGTGGATAGATCCCAATTCCGCGGCCCTACTGTAGGTCGGAGTGGATATATCCCTACCCCACGGTCCTACTGTGGGTCGGAGTGGATACATCCCAATCCCACTGTCCTACTGTCGGTCGGAGTGGATACATCCCAATTCCACTGTCCTACTGTGGGTCGGAGTGGATACATCCCTATCACACGGCCCTACTGTTGGTCGGAGTGGATACATCCCAATCCCACGGTCCTACTGTGGGTCGGAGTGGATACATCCAAATTCCACTGTCCTTCTGTGGGTCGGAGTGGATACATCCCTATCACACGGCCCTACTGTAGGTCGGAGTGGATACATCCCTATCTCACGGCCCTACCGTGGGTCGGAATGGATACATCCCAATTCCACTGTCCTACTGTATGTCGGAGTGGATATATCCCAATCCCACTGTCCTACTGTAGGTCGGAGTGGATACATCCCTATCTCACGGCCCTACTGTGGGTCGGAGTGGATACATCCCTATCTCACGGCCCTACCGTGAGTCGGAGTGGATACATCCCTATTCCACTGTCCTACTGTATGTTGGAGTGGATACATCCCTATTCCACTGTCCTACTGTATGTCGGAATGGATACATCCCTATTCCACTGTCCTACTGTGGGTCGGTGTGGATACATCCCTATTCCACGGCCCTACTGTATGTCGGAGTGGATACATCCCGACAGATATCCCGACTAGAGAGGTTCCACTGTATTAACCGGTACGGCTACGTTTTCACATAACTTTGGTAATGGGAATATGTCATCACGACTGGAGAGTTTAAGTCTGTAGTTAAGTTTTAATTACAGGTAGTTGGAGTGTGATAACAGGTGGGACGGACACGTTTGGGTAGTCTGGTGTTACGTATAGGGATTTGGACATTATAATGTAATAAGAGCGGTTGGAGAGGGGTGAGAAATCACTTAAGCGTATGTATTTATCTCGCGTACACCTGAGCAGGTTTGAGTACTTAGTTAGTAGCTGTTTTGTACACACCTGTCAAACAGCTCCGTATACATCAGGGATGCCGGATGTTTTATATTGTAAGTACACCTTATATCAAATGTAGGGAAAATAAGCGAATGTCTTATTCGTGTAAGTCGCTATTGATTTTACACACAGAACAAATATGTACGTGTGTGTCTACTTTCGGTTTTACACTTAATGGCGTCAGCAAAGTTTCCTGGTGATATTACATATATATTTGTATACAAGATATTAGATACCGGAAACGTTTTAATTAAACATTTTGAAATGGCTTTCTGTAAGTTAACAAAGCTTTGCGTTGTAAACTGATGTTGAGTGTAATCTTTACTATCTATAGTGGTGACTACTATATCCTGTAAGTTAACAAAGCTTTGCGTTGTAAACTGATGTTGAGTGTAATCTTTACTATCTATAGTGGTGACTACTATATCCTGTAAGTTAACAAAGCTTTGCGTTGTAAACTGATGTTGAGTGTAATCTTTACTATCTATAGTGGTGACTACTATATCCTGTAAGTTAACAAAGCTTTGCGTTGTAAACTGATGTTGAGTGTAATCTTTACTATCTATAGTGGTGACTACTATATCCTGTAAGTTAACAAAGCTTTGCGTTGTAAACTGATGTTGAGTGTAATCTTTACTATCTATAGTGGTGACTACTATATCCTGTAAGTTAACAAAGCTTTGCGTTGTAAACTGATGTTGAGTGTAATCTTTACGATCTATGGTGGTGACTACTATATCCTTTAAGGGTTGCAGTTCTGCTCCCTATTTACTTTAACGCGATATCACCCCACCCTGCATCCCCACTGAAACAAAGGTCTCAGCAACTCGCCACCCCTAACATTTAACATGGCGACTACATATACCCCTGATTCCCTTAGTCTACGAACAGTTTTCGGGTTCAATGGGGACACGCGTTACAGTCTAAATATTTTGGGATTCTACATAAAGCCGAATATGTATTAACTACTATAGAGCAATCCTGCGTAAATCTCCACGTCAACGGTATTTATATCCTTATCGTATGACATCCGTATTTTTATCAAAATGTTCAAAGAATCAAATGTTGTCGATCAGATAAAAAATATATGGCCATCATGCATAATGTAGTATTGTGTTTATACAAAAAGATGTTTTTTTTGTTAAGCAGTGTATGTTTAAAAGTCATTTGATTTTAACGATATCAATACTACGTAGTCTATATACATGTTTTAATTTGCCAAATATCATCAATATTTACCTACTAACCTTCTGCTGGTGTTGCACATGCATGGCTTGTTGGGAAAATGCATTCTATAGCGTATTGTTTATTACCCGATAATGCAAAACTCTCCTTATCTAGTTCCAGAGAAGATATCGTCTTCTTATAAAACCTTAATGATATAGACCATATCATCCTTGTCCTTATCATCCTATATAAACCGGTCATATCATGAAAGGATATGCTTTGGAATTTGTATTTTGTTGATTATATTCGTGGAATAAAACACGATAGTTTAAAGGTCTTAATAGAGCTGGGCTCGTGTTTGCCTAGGAAAGAAAACATGGTTGTAATGATAGAAAAATGTGTTGGAGTGGTAGGAAAGCCAATGAGTGATTGTTACAGTTTCAATAATAGAGATAAAATATGTTGGTTGTTGCATGTTACGTGGTAGGAGACAGGATAAAGAAGGAATGACTGTGACAGTTTCAATGTTAGAGAATTGAGGGTTGTGACAGTTTCAATGTTAGAGAAGTAAGGACTGTGACAGTTTCAATGTTAGAGAAGGAAGGACTGTGACAGTTTCAATGTTAGAGAAGGAAGACTGTGACAGTTTCAATGTTAGAGAAGGAAGGACTGTGACAGTTTCAATGTTAGAGAATTGAGGGTTGTGATAGTTTGAATGGTAGAGAAGGAAGGACTGTGACAGTTTCAATGGTAGAGAAGTAAGGGTTGTGATAGTTTGAATGTTAGAGAAGGAAGGACTGTGACAGTTTGAATGTTAGAGAAGGAAGGACTGTGACAGTTTCAATGCTAGAGAATTGAGGGTTGTGACAGTTTCAATGGTAGAGAATTACCGTCGCCACAGATGTGTGGAATTTCTAGTCTATCCCATACACTACATAAGTACCGCCATCCCAGGCACCCTATACGGACCGGTTATGTTCAGACAAGTTGACCAGACATCGCCTACTTAAGATTTTAAACCAAATATCAATAGTAAAGGGTCAGGGATTATTTGTATAAAATCACCCGTCAAGCGTGTACAATTGAGTTTCAGCAGATCATCGGTAATATCAAACCCTTTATCGGAATATGTCGCGCTTCTTTTGTGGAAGTGATTTAAACAGATCACATTGATTCATTCCGAAGTTCTACCCCGATTTATCAGACTTTCAGTAGGTCGACTGTAACGTAAAACGGCCATCCAAGCGTTCGATATAAGGGTAATGGCAGGCGAGATGATTTAACATTACAGGGTGTGTAGACATTCTAGTGTACACTTTTGTGTACTTGTAAATGAGCTTGTCACAGGGTAATTTACCTGCAGACGTTAAAGTTACCAGGAAGTCGGTTACAGGTAAGCCTGATATGTCATTAACTCCTGTTTTGAAAAGTTATTTAAAGTTTATAGAAATATGTCATGCAAGGGTCTCATTGCTACGTCTTGTATGTAGTCCATGTATATAGTTAGTAGAGACGCCATACCGTGGGGTTACTGACCTGGATAACAGCATCTTGTGATGACCAAATCCCACCCGTAAGTACAGTACTGTGTTAAATATTGAAGAAATGTAAGTGAGCTTAACGAAATCACATTTATCCCAACATTTCCCCTTAATATGGCAGGACTGTGATGACAAGGGGTGTGAGATTTCACATGTTATATACATGTCCCTTTGTAGTAGTACTACTTAACTGTCTAAGCGATGTTAACTGTACTCTTGATGTCCTCCGTACAGACGTGTTCTGAGGCCAGCATATCTGGAGGAAGCAATGTATTCATACTGTGAATATCATAAACAACCCGTTTTTCAACTCCCAATCCGATCAGACCAGGCAAAATAGGATCAAAGGAAGCACTTATAAGTACAAGGGGAATATTACCTGAAGACTAAGTTTCTAATACCTCATTGACGTCACTGTAGCACCCTTGTTATTTTGATATTCATAATTATTTGAATAAGTACATACTCAGTGGGAACAAACTGAATATGAGTTCTTTAGTAACAATATAATTTACGATTTCATTATTTATATTCTAATCCGTATTTTGTTCTTTCATTCCGTTATCCGTGCCGCGTTTTCACTACCGAAGTCGCCGTGTCACGTCATCGCTACTTTCGTTTTTAGATGTGTATACGTGTGTGGTCTATGTGACGTATTGTGTATGTTGTGTATGTCTTTTGTAAACTAGTTTGACAACTTGACCAATGACCCATGACATCTGTCGCATTGCGTGCATTTTTCCCGCCCTAAAGTTTTCTTCGCTACCTCTGAACTTTCTATCTGCCCATTTCATCGATACCTTCCATATTGAATACATCGATCATCTCAATCTGCCCTATGAGCATCATGAACGGAGTCTATCCCAGGTACCACATACTAGGTAGGTCACTGTTCTGTTTATTTTATAGGCTAGAATAATACTTTTTATATATTCGGAACTAGTATAGAATTAGAAGTAAAGTATTATTTATTCTTGAAATTATTATTTTCTGACTATTTCTAATTTACCTTTATATTTTCGCCGACGGGCGTGGTCAATAATTTTGTCATTTAGTAGAGCGTATGTATTTATTCTCGCTAGAATGCTAGTTTATATATTTATAAATGGAGAACGTACCATTATAGTGTAAACCACATTTATATATTATTGCGTACGCCATTGTGTAAATTATCTCGTCAGTTATGTATTGTCCAGTTATTTATAGTCTGGTCGTTTGGAAAACGTGTGGTGTGGAATGTTATAATCAATGTACGTGTGTATTGTGTATTGCGTTATTTTAGTCAGGTGCGTTCGATACGAAATGTATGTGTCTTATATGTATATTTTAATGACTTACAGGGATGAAACTCCTGGGTGAATAAAAACGTTGAACCTAAAATCCTGGCTTGATTGTATATGAAAATCTCCACGTCGGCAAGGAATCCTACAAAACCCCCGAAATTACATCACTAACTTTTGAAATCTAGGTAAAATCTAAGTAATGCCTCGTTATCAAACTGAGAACGTCGGATAGAAGCGGGCTGGAGTTTCTTCTTTCACAAATGTTAGACAATATTGTCGTAGAGTTTCCTTGGTTTTACAGCATTCCTAGGTCTTTTACCAGTAGTTCGTATAATTGTGTTTATATACAAGGTCAACGACTTTAGATGTGTTGTCCGCAGACATAGATCACCGTGTGTTGTTTGGTCATCGGGGTCAAGATATACAGAATTATGTTTTGTTTTCCCTCTGGATATGAAACTGTTCATGATTTGTAAATTGATGTACCTGATAGATCGTACTCGCAGTATCATTTAGTCAAATTAGGATGCTCTCGTTCTGCCTTTTGTCGGGCTCATTTTCGCAACGAGATCCGTCAGTATCTCGAAATCCATATACTGTTGGTACATGTAGTGGTCTAATAATGAAAAAAATGTTGATAGTCGATACTACTTTGATGGTCAGTTACTATGTGCCCAACTGGACCACATTTGTATGAAGGACAAGAACATGCAGGACGAGGAGTTATGCTAAGGTCACCTAAGGTCAAGGTCATCTAAATTCAGCTGTTTAGCGTTAGCTTGTAGCTGGAAAGCAAGGGTTTAGAGGAGCTATTATGGCCATTTAAGGGTCATATGTATCTAAAGTACGGAGGCATGTTAGCTAGTGACTAGCTTGTGGTGTAGCACAGTTCTGGTGTAAATGAAACCTCTTGATGGCGAGTTTCACTTTCATAAAATACCTGAGTTACCTGAGGTTCGTGACTCTGTACAGACAAGATTAATGATTCGGATTCTTGTCACATCGTCAATAATATAATGAAGCCTAGTTAGTTTCCAAAGGTCATTAGTTTTTTGTTGAAGCCTAATGTTTCCATAACGTAGTCCCTGTTGTATCTTCTGACCATTGACAACTGTTCGCCTCGTAGCAAACGCGGTAACAGTTTTCGCTCGCTATCGCCTCTGTAGCAAACGCGGTAACAGTTTTCGCTCGCTATCGCCTCTGTAGCAAACGCGGTAACAGTTTTCTCTCGCTATCGCCTCGTAGCAAACGCGGTAACAGTTTTCGCTCGCTATCGCCTCGTAGCTAACGCGGTAACAGTTTTCTCTCGCTATCGCCTCGTAGCTAACGCGGTAACAGTTTTCGCTCGCTATCGCCTCGTAGCTAATGCGGTAACAGTTTTCGCTCGCTATCGCCTCGTAGCTATCGCCTCGTAGCTAACACGGTAACAGTTTTCGCTCGCTATCGCCTCGTAGCTAACGCGGTAAAAGTTTTCGCTCGCTATCGCCTCGACCGCAAGCCATTTGAGCTACAATCAGATGGTGCGCATGGGTTAGCAGAAATGACACAAACATGTGTTTTTTAAATCGTTTGGTCGGACGCTTGTGGAATCTCATTTTCTGTTGGCGATTAACCACATTTATGAATATATTTAAGCGAAATCCGGAAATCATTTTCCACGAGAAGATACTATTGGTATGTTTATGTATTATTTGAAAAGGGATATTATAGTTATTGATGCACTTATCCTAGTTATTGATGTACTTATCCTAGTTATTGATGTACTTATCCTAGTTATTGATGTACTTATCCTAGTTATTGATGTACTTATCCTAGTTATTGATGTACTTATCCTAGTTATTGATGTACTTATCCTAGTTATTGATGTACTTATCCTAGTTATTGATGTACTTATCCTAGTTATTGATGTACTTATCCTAGTTATTGATGTACTTATCCTAGTTATTGATGTACTTATCCTAGTTATTGATGTACTTATCCTAGTTATTGATGTACTTATCCTAGTTATTGATGTACTTATCCTAGTTATTGATGTACTTATCCTAGTTATTGATGTACTTATCCTAGTTATTGATGTACTTATCCTAGTTATTGATGTACTTATCCTAGTTATTGATGTACTTATCCTAGTTATTGATGTACTTATCCTAGTTATTGATGTACTTATCCTAGTTATTGATGTACTTATCCTAGTTATTGATGTACTTATCCTAGTTATTGATGTACTTATCCTAGTTATTGATGTACTTATCCTAGTTATTGATGTACTTATCCTAGTTATTGATGTACTTATCCTAGTTATTGATGTACTTATCCTAGTTATTGATGTACTTATCCTAGTTATTGATGTACTTATCCTAGTTATTGATGTACTTATCCTAGTTATTGATGTACTTATCCTAGTTATTGATGTACTTATCCTAGTTATTGATGTACTTATCCTAGTTATTGATGTACTTATCCTAGTTATTGATGTACTTATCCTAGTTATTGATGTACTTATCCTAGTTATTGATGTACTTATCCTAGTTATTGATGTACTTATCCTAGTTATTGATGTACTTATCCTAGTTATTGATGTACTTATCCTAGTTATTGATGTACTTATCCTAGTTATTGATGTACTTATCCTAGTTATTGATGTACTTATCCTAGTTATTGATGTACTTATCCTAGTTATTGATGTACTTATCCTAGTTATTGATGTACTTATCCTAGTTATTGATGTACTTATCCTAGTTATTGATGTACTTATCCTAGTTATTGATGTACTTATCCTAGTTATTGATGTACTTATCCTAGTTATTGATGTACTTATCCTAGTTATTGATGTACTTATCCTAGTTATTGATGTACTTATCCTAGTTATTGATGTACTTATCCTAGTTATTGATGTACTTATCCTAGTTATTGATGTACTTATCCTAGTTATTGATGTACTTATCCTAGTTATTGATGTACTTATCCTAGTTATTGATGTACTTATCCTAGTTATTGATGTACTTATCCTAGTTATTGATGTACTTATCCTAGTTATTGATGTACTTATCCTAGTTATTGATGTACTTATCCTAGTTATTGATGTACTTATCCTAGTTATTGATGTACTTATCCTAGTTATTGATGTACTTATCCTAGTTATTGATGTACTTATCCTAGTTATTGATGTACTTATCCTAGTTATTGATGTACTTATCCTAGTTATTGATGTACTTATCCTAGTTATTGATGTACTTATCCTAGTTATTGATGTACTTATCCTAGTTATTGATGTACTTATCCTAGTTATTGATGTACTTATCCTAGTTATTGATGTACTTATCCTAGTTATTGATGTACTTATCCTAGTTATTGATGTACTTATCCTAGTTATTGATGTACTTATCCTAGTTATTGATGTACTTATCCTAGTTATTGATGTACTTATCCTAGTTATTGGTGTACTTATCCTAGTTATTGATGTACTTATCCTAGTTTTTGATGTATTTATCCGTGATGTCGCTTTTAGATGATTGCATTTATGTGAAAAAATAACCGCAAAAGCAATGATAAACAGGGTATGCTAAATCTATTCTTCATGAGTTATAATTAAAGAATGATCTGTAACCAGATAAGTCGAATAATAAAACTACTAATACTGCTCCAAGATAAAAGATTACTAATTCGAGATGTTTGATGACTACATCCAGCCAAACGTACATTACTATATTGAGACTATAATAGTCCAAATAATAGATTTCTATTTCGAGATCACGGATTGTTGGTGTAATTTACCTGGCCCCTGCAAATTAATTATTCGAGTTGAGCGTCGTACATTCCTTACACGGTGTGTAGACACTGTAAACAATATCACCAGTTTTATCCTGAAGGTATAGCTGTGTATTATCGACACACGAAGCTCACAAACATATAAAGCAGGTGTAATTGTTTACGTTCTTAACGAAAGTTTGACACAAATCATTACAAATATTTGACATATGAATTAATCTCTAATTTACACGCGTGGTTTCATAACCTAATGGGAAAATATATATACAGGGATACTATTTATTTCCCATCTTATGCATTTATCTCGATTTTTCGATTTTTTTTAAACGATTAAAATGTTCTTAATGTGTTCCTAAACAAGTACAATTTTTGGCTGATTGGTTGAAATGTGTTCCGACCGTTTCATTTTTTTCTCCCGTTTTTGAATCCCCAAATTACATGCCTGTAAGTGTACATGAAGGTAATGCAGAAAATCAGATCTCCCTAAATAGACATGCCCATTACGTACAGACAATCAGATCTCACTAAACAGACATGCTCATTACGTACAGACAATCAGATCTCTCTACACAGACATGCCCATTACATACAGACAATCAGATCTCACTAAACAGACATGCCCATTACGTACAGACAATCAGATCACACTAAACAGACATGCTCATTACATACAGACAATCAGATCTCACTAAACAGACATGCTCATTACGTACAGACAATCAGATCCCACTACACAGACATGCCCATTACATACAGACAATCAGATCACACTAAACAGAGATGCCCATTACGTACAGACAATCAGATCTCACTAAACAGACATGTCCATTACGTACAGAATTTCATTTCTCACTAAACAGACATGTCAAATACGTACATAATTTCATTTCTCACTAAACAGACATGTCCATTACGTACATAATTTCATTTCTCACTAAACAGACATGTCCATTACGTACAGACAATCAGATCACACTAAACAGACATGCTCATTACATACAGAATTTCATTTTTCACTAAACAGACATGTCCGTTACGTACAGAATTTCATTTCTCACGTTATATAAGACTCGTCTCTAAATTCATATTCATAGTTACCCTAGAAGAAAGTAAGTTAACATATTACTTATAACCACAACCTGGTTTTGATCGAGTGTAATTTCACGAACTTGCCTAAGGGCAATGTGCATAGTGATGCATCATTTTGACATGTGTATAATTGTATTACTGATATAATACCAGCCACTCCCGGTAACTACAATTAAACAATATATATTTTTGATTTTGTTAAATGTTAAGTATAAGATCCTGATATAATTCAAGGTATTCCAGATAGTGATATCACTCAATGAGTTATCAATCACACATTACACGGGATGTCTATGAACGGGACCACATCGCACGCTGCATGTCTGTGTGTAATCTCGGCATATATTTGCTTTGATTCCCGGCTTCAATCAATTTCGGATTTGAATCCGCAATATCTCTGATTCACTGCATAACATGATGGATTTATAAAAGGTAATCATCCGAGAGGGAGGGGTCGGCTAGACCGAATCTCATGTATATGTGCTCCACAGCATCAGTCGGGATTGAAAATTGAGGATGATAACGTACGTAAAAATACACTGGTCTTTTAAAGTAATAATACGTTTTGATACAGCGTATTTTAGTCCTATTCACTTTTAAATCTGTTGAAATTGACGCACAAAAGGTCGTCACTTTATTCACCCTGAGAAACGGATATAGCGACGACTTTGTAGGAATCGGATCTAAGTCATTCTACATGTACATGTAAGTATTTCTGTAGTTGACAGGTACTAATGTACAATACATTTTTTTATAGAAAATGACACAGTAAAAATAATATCCTCACATTTCTAAGGAACAAGAGATTCAAAAGAATAAGATTCCATATGACACATCAATCTCAGCTGTCTCAACAAATCTATAGCAGTGAAATGATATCAAATGTTCTTGATTATCTTGTGTTTTTCAAATATTCCCTAACCACTGGTTAAATCTAAACAACCTTTGAGCAACTTAGGCCAGGATTTTAAATTTCTTATAGATATCACGTGTTTTCAAAGATTTGGATTAAATATGAATAAATACCTATTACAAATAGATGAATGGTATGTTGGGCCGGATCTTGATTTACATGTTACTGCATCAATAGTAGAAAGTATGAATTTTATTGTTCAAGTTTCTTGAACAGAAAGTTGCAATGTACAGTACCTATTCAAGAATTGTTTATAAGAAAAGTGTTATACCATTATAGAGTGATATCGATGTCTTCTATATAGCTTAACCAGTGGTCTTTTCCAGACCCTGCACAGGGTGGAACACATATTGGTAGAGATCAATTAACTTACTTGGTATGCTAAATGACTTTATCATTCACTTAAGAGGTAGTATTAACAAAAACGATTGTTATAGCAGAAGAACAGTGTGTAAATCATCGACATCTTTATGGCACGTAAGAAAATCAAATTCAACTCTTTTTTGTTTTATATCTTTGACACGTTTCACACCCTGAGTGTGGTATACGGGAATTTTATAACTCTTTCAATTATACAATGTACGTACGAAAAAGTAATGCCAATGTCATCCTGCTTATAAGAAATAGACGCGAAGAAGGCTAGCAGGACTGTAATTTTAAAGACGCAAATGAAAAGAACATCTTTCTTAAATGCAATACGATTCCCGAGAGTCAATAATATTTAAAAACTTAATGGATGGAAAAAGAATATCCACGAATCTTGCTTCACTTACATCGTCAATTGTATGAATACTGTATTCAAGAGCGCAAGGCATGCAATTTAAATAAACAGTTGGAATTTGAAACTCAACAAAAACGTCTTCAAACAAAACTAATGAACTTGAAGCTCTTTATTCGGAAATTTGTATAATGCCCCTAAAGCAAATATTACTTTAAGTACAAGCAAACATGAATGCTGTGTCAAGTGGTCTTTACCCAGAGAAAACGCCTCCGATGTCGACACCGTTTTGGACCAATGGCAGCAAAGTAAATTGATATTACAAATCTTCGCCATCGTGCGTACGTATTGTGTACTGACAATTGTAACTTAGATGCCGACGAAAATGCCTTCAGAAGGGTCGACTGTTACTTAGTTTTGTTGACATTTGTCAGATATTTGAACATGAAATTTTACTATTTATTAACATATGATGTTAACATGTCGAATAAATGACGACCCTAACTAAACAAGCATATAAACAGTATCATGTCATTGTTTAGTCCCAGCATAAAATAAAAACGGTTCGGATAAGCGATATAAAACAAGCTATTTATTGGGAGAGGCGGCTGATGGTCGGGTAATGCAATGTTCGGGTATGTACAATGTAGTATACAGTTTAAATCTGGACAACGAGGGAGCATCCGCACAAAACACGTTCAAATGTTAGATTGTAGTTATAGACTTTTCTAGTAAGCTTTAAGTTTCGTTTGATGTAATATAAATCAGTCCTTATTTGTCTTTATTACGGTGAGCGGATTGCTCCAAAATTTCCACTTCGCTGTCCACATTGTTGACATTTAGGGTTTTCTGTATATACAGTGTATATACGAGTCGAATATCATAAACATGACCAGTTTATCTTTACATAAATAATATTGTTTGCCTGTTTACAACAATTCATGACCCCACCCCGGTTCTAGTTGATTGGTTTGGTTTGATTTAATTTTGTTTAACTTCCTATTAACAGCTAAGGTCATTTAAGGACTTGCCTCCATGTGTGTAGTGTATGCTTGCTTGCTTTTGTGTATGCAGGAGACAGAGTATGTTGTCTGCCTCCTTGTGATAGCGCGGATCTGATGCCGACTTTATAGTGCTATCTCACTGAAATACCATGAAGGAACCCATCATAGCATCTCGCCCGGTCACATTATACTGACAACGGGTGAATCAGTTGTTGCCATTTCCCTAAATGCTTTTGTGTCCCCAAATAGAGAACACCAAAGCCAAACCCCAATGCTACAGCGGCTCCCTCATTAGTCGCCTCCTACGATACATGCAGTGGGTAACAGCAGGAATATTATTTTCCCAATCCCCCACCTGCAGGGGTGTAGTTATTTGGAAATTTCATTAGAAACTATAGTGTAATTTCAGTGATCTTAGACTTATTGTACAGTTCGATACAAAACATTGAGCCTGTACGAACACATGAACTGGATGCGTCGGCTTTAGGTGATGCGATGACGAGGAGGAAGAGGATTATTATAAAACACAGCAGCGAATAGACAAAATTGCTTCCATGCTATACTTATTGTTTCCTTTATATTTTTTTAATTGCAAATTTACAACCATTGTTTTACATTCTCATTACAGAAGTGATTTGATGTAGAACCTCACCCCTCCTAACAAGAAACTATGTTGTTGGGACGACGGAAGACTCTACGCATCTGTTCGTACGGCGGTGTGCTGGTCACTATCTTCCTCCTGTTCAGCGTTCTTCAAGTTCTGGTATCACGTGACAATGAAAGTATCGGCATTGTTACAGTTACCAATACTCGTGTATTTGCACACGACACAGAACTGACAATTCTTGATTACTCAGCAGCTGACGACAGATTGGTCAACCATGTACGGAATACTCTGATCCAACCATACCAGGGCACTCCTGACATGCAGTATAACCTAACGATGATAAAACCGAATTCAGATTATTCGAGAGGACAGAGCAAGATAATTGATGAACATCTTCAGAAAAAGGTAATATGATGATAAACATACGAGTCCGATTCATATAACACGTAGCATGTATTATTCACGGGATGGGTGTTATATTTATGGGGAATGTAGCTATATTCACGGGAGGGATGTTATATTTATGGGGAATGTAGCTATATTCACGGGAAGGATGTTATATTTATTGGGAATGTGGCTATATTCACGGAGGGTAGGATTAAATGCACTGGAATAGTGCTGTGTATATCGTGACTGATAAATAGCTACAATAAACTATGAACGAAATATACGAAGCATGTTCTGTTCCTAATGACTTGTACAATATATAAAAAGTCATATTGAATATACTGCCAAGCAAACAAAGGTTAATGAAGAATGGTGCCGTATTCACAGGGAATACTTCATTCCGATCTCGTCGGTCAATTCATATCCAATTAGCAATATATTGAAACACAATATTGAATCTACTACCATGCAAACAAACGTTTAAGAAGTAAATAACCTATTAGCGTTACTTATGATTATATGATTCTCTGAATGCGAGTCCGCCAACAAAGTCGACATCACACGTAGTATTCAGTGTACCTGTATATCTGCACCTTGGCCTAAGCAGAGCGTTGGCGGACTGTTTGGTCGGTTGAGATTGTCGAATTACAGCACGCTGACATACTAAATGACTGGAAATATGAAGGGGGATGCACCAATGTAAATCGGTAAATATGAAGGGGGATGCACCAATGTAAATCGGTAAATGCAGAGAACTTTTTCACTGCACCATATGGCCATTTCGTCCATTGAAGTCTCGTATGTGTTCAAAGACCAAAAGAAACGTCTAGAATTCAGCGCACTGGAGAGATGTTAAAGGCCAACATCTAATTTAAGTTAAATTGTGAAACATTTGCCATCGAATGTTGATCTCTATGCGACTATCACTAAGACAGGCGCTGGAGAGATGTAAAATCATCTGTTAAAGGCCAACATCTAATTTAAGTTTATATATCTCCATGCAGGATACCACTAAGACAGGCGCTGGAGAGATGTAAAATCATCTGTTAAAGGCCAACATCTAATTTAAGTTTATATATCTACATGCAGGATAGCACTAAGACAGGCGCTGGAGAGATGTAAAATCATTTATTAATGGCCAGCATCTAATTTATGTTTATATATCTCCATGCGACTATCACTAAGACAGGCGATGGAGAGATGTAAAATCATTTATTAATGGCCAACATCTAATTTAAGTTTATATATCTCCATGCAGGATACCACTTAGACATGTTTAATATTTTATGCGATATCGTACACGTCATTTAATGTAGTTAACATGTATGTATCAGTAAAAGGTGTACCATGGTTTGATAAGTGTTATCTAAGGAGGATGTATAATTACCTTAAAATATTTTAATTAGCTCCTAGTTTATATATAAAATTTGGCAACTGAGTCACCTTCAGTCCTCCATGCATGACACTGCATCACAAAGCAGACACCTCAAAAACGCATTAAAAGTGAAAAAGTTGGCCTATATGGAAACAGGAAGTTTAAAATAGGATACTTGTGATAGTATTATGGTGAAAATTCACATTAAATTGTATCTGATGCCATGAAACCAACCGAGAAAATTTAATGTGGTAGCCTTCTATGTCAAAGGCTTACAGACCTGTTTAGTTGATAAACTGGCTACAAGCCATACGTATTCATGTAGTGGTCCTATTAGGGTATACAGGGTTCACTTTGTTGCATGTATCTGTGGGATGCGGTAACGTAATCCCATCGAATGTTTATACATGTAGCTCCATAAACAAATAATTTTCCTTTTTCCTGATAACATGTATTTATTTTATGTTTTTTCGGTATCAAAATAAAAGGTTAGAATTTAAACCATTAGATTCAATTATAATAAAAATAGGATGTAGTAGTTGTTTCCCCTACTTTGATTATTTATTTGATAATATCAACCTGTTTGTGTTTGTATGTGTTCTAATGTCTATGTCTATGCTTGTACCACTGTTTGCTGCTGTGTTTGGAGAGGGCTTAAATAGGCTATGCCTGCTGTCCAATCCATTTGTCTATTGACAATAAAATGCTTTGAAATTGAAATTGAAATGAAACCACCCCAGACAATGTAATGTGGTAACCTTTTTCATTTAAGTCAAAGGCATATAGAAATATTCAGTTGATAAAACTGGTTACGAGCCATCCTTTTTCATTTAGTTGTACCAGAGACGTATATATTACATGTAATATATACGTCTCTGGTTGTACATGTAAATAGATAAGTTATTATGAACAGGTTAATCGCGATATTTTAGTAGAACGAAATAAATGTGTAAAAAAGTGTCTCATGTTTGCGACTTGCTCAGTGTTCATACAATACCTATGACAAAGAACAGGAGTTGAGTGACTAAATATTAGATGATGCTTGCAATTCAAATTCCTGAAATGTTGGGAAAGGCGACTAATACAATTGACTTAACACGTGTGAAAATGTCGCCTGTTAATACTACTTTTAGTAGACCTGATAAATAAATCATTTTGTATGAAAAATGACATTTAAAGTCAATTTGAGAATCCAAACATTGGTTCTCTGTAAAAGTAATGTGTATTTAATAGTGATTTAGATAGACCCTAACCTGGCCACGTCCTCATCACAACAATCTGAATAAATATTATATTAAATGATACTTAAAATCAAACTTCCGTCATTCGGTCTCCCGTCTGTCGTCAATAAATGTTTTGTTTTCAGTATTTCTCAAAAACAGCAAGGCAGTTCCTTTCAAAATTTCATATATAGGTTTCCCCTTAACCTTTGCAGCCAATTTGGATTTTGAAAGTTCAATTTTGTTATCGGTTGTTTTCAGTTAAAATGATCATTTGAATATCACCGATTAAAAGACTAAATTAAGACTAAAGGTTCAACTGCATCAGTTATCAGTGCAAGTAGTGTTCCCCTCAATTTGTTTTTAGCTCACCTGGCACGAAGTGCCAAGTGAGCTTATGCCGTGGCGCGGCGTCCGTCGTCCGTCCGTCCGTCCGTCCGTCCGTCCGTCCGTCCGTCCGTCCGTCCGTCCGTC